CTCTCCCTCTGCTCTGTCAATGCCGCTGTTGTAAGCCCCACCACCACCCCAGCATTCACCTGTAGGCTCCGGCTAGGGGTTAAGGTATTTGCTCATCACTCCCCAATATGTCTACGTAAACATAACTGCAGGGAATGATGAGGTCGGAGCCTAGACGCCAAAATCTAAATATGCTATACTGCTTTAATTAACATTTAAAACGTGAGTTGTTTGATATGATATATGATTCACAATTAGTGGGAATGATCATTTTTACATCAGGATTTTTTCATTTAATTTTCACTGAAAAAAACTAACAAACAAGATTTGCAGACCTGGGCATCCCTGCAGCTCTTCAGTATGTCATTATAATGCTGTTATCAAAGAACTGCTGCTTCTGCGATTTGTATATTGTACTTGGCTATATTGCAATTTCAATAAGATTAAGATTATTTGTGCAGCCTTATGTGACATGTGCCAAATGTGAGGTGATATTTTAGTAAAACTGGGTACAAAAGGACTAAGCTTCTAAAACTCTAAACAACGTGCATGCAACAGACAGTACAACCTGCTATAAATGTGGCTCTTGTAATCCTATTCAAACTTAGTCTTCAGAGGTGGATGATTTGCAAATTGAATACATAATTACCCTCTGTTAACATGTCTCCTTCTCTCTTAAATGATGCAATGAGGGGAGAGGTACACCTCCTCATTGCAAAAATGACAAGCTGCAACTCTAGTCTGCTGCGTCTGTGTGGTGCAGTATGTGTTTGGGGCAGCATGCGTCACATCGGTGCCTGAAAAACAGCAGCAAAAGCTTCAGTAAATGTGTCTGACAAAATCATGAGGAAAGCATAATGATACACACAATAAAAGTCTGATGGTTATTTAGAAAGAGGACAGAAAATTCTTCTAAACATGTAAACACCTTAATTACACTGATAAATATTTTTACACAGTGGATCAAACGTTCACGTTTAATGGGAAAGAAATCTGTCGTAGGGATGAACCAACTGATCTCTAACTCTAGTTTCCCTAACAGCGTTAAACTTTTCATCTGGCCCAACAAGGACAATCAAGTCATTATGTAGGTATGTTCAGGTATTCTTGATGGTATTTCTGAGTTTGTCATTTCTGCATTGACTGATTTGATTTAATTAATTGACTTTGTAGTCCCCAGTATGGGTCCTGTTCCAGGTAAAAACCCAGATTTGCACCTTCAGTTTTTAACTAAGGCCTTTGGTTTTTCATTCCTGAGAAGTACTTCTCAAGATGAGTAAACAGATTGTCCTGTGTCTAATAGGCGGAGTGTCCCTTTAAAATATGTGTTGGTGCAGCGTTGCCCAACTATTCGGCTCTTGTGTCTGACCTTACAGTCGAGGACAGCCTCCTGTATAGAGCAGCACTGGTGCTCTTTGTGCTCCTCTGTCTGACACTGCTGGCACACTGGCTCCTCCTCTTCCAGACAGAACACACTGAGCATTTCTCCATGCTCCTCACACAGCTCCTCTTTCTCCACACCCCGGTATCCTCCGTCGTCTGCCGCCCTGACACTCTCTTCTGCCGTTCCAGGTGGGACCCCGCGTCTCCGAGGCTGGCCACGGAAAAGGGCTTCCAGCAGAGTGTGCAGGACCGAGTCCATCAGCTGTGATCCATAGCAGATGGTGCAGCCGGCCTGGCCCAGCTCCCCCTGGCTCAGTTCAACACATGCGGGACACAGTTTGTGGCCGCAAGGCAGCGTCAGTATGCCCAGTGACTGGCAGCCCGGACACTCTTCCTCAAGTTGGGTTGGAGGCTGCTGACCCTCAGTAGAATCTGGGGATTCCACAACAGCGACAGGGTCTCTTTGTTGATCCCCAAGAGTGTTTGTATCTTGTCCTCGCTCTTCCTCTTCTTCATGATCGGCCTGACTGGCCCTCTCAGCCATGACAGTACTGCAGATGACTGGTTAATTTTAGTACAATGGCTGAATAACAGAGTGGGTTTCTGTCCCTGCACGCCCACAGCAGCACCAGGACAGAGCTGCTCTCAGGTCCTCATGCAATCTGAGCTTAGCAACAGGTTGCAAAATCACTTGTGCTCTCTGTAACCATAAGTTCCTCCCCCTCAGCTGCTGCACGCCCCCTAATGACATGATAAAAATACTCCTGAACTGAAAACAAGAGGCATCACTCCAGGAGAGACTCTCAGAAGAATGGAAGAAATTACATGCCAACGTTGAGTTCATAGAAGTGAATGGCTGATGAGCAGGGCTCTCTTTAACAGAAATACAGATCGGATGGTCGGATGTGCTGAATGCTGGGCAGAGGGAGGATCAGTGTGTGTGTGTGTGTGNNNGTGGTTGAGGCGTGGCCCCTAATTTATTAGTATTTATTCATTAAACTGCTTCTATATCATAGTATTCATGTTTATACTTACTACTACTTTTTTTTCTCATATCTTAATGTACTACTTCTGTTTTCTTATAATTCTCTTTGTTTAGCAACTTGTGGAACTGTAATGCAACCAATTAGGGATCAATAAAGTATTTCTGATTATGGTTCTGATATTGCCATGCAAAAGTGTGTAAAATGTATTCTCACAAGAATGGTGAGGATGTTTAAAATAAAAATAGACTATTGACATTTTATAGTCTCTCCTGAACTGCTGCATACAGTCTGATAGAACCTCACACAGGTCAGTATGTATCCTACACTGTACTCCCCTCACTGTACATCAGCTGCTTCCCCCACTCTTTGCGTACATGTGTGTAAGCAAAGAAGGACACAGGGGAACAACAAGCTACTATTTTGATTAGAAAGTAAAAATGTTTTTTTTAAATCTCTTTTTCATGGAGAATTAATGAGCTGACACAACACAAACATTGATTTTTTTTTCATTTGGAAAAACACTGACAATACTGTGAGCAGAAGACTCTGCAGTCAGTGTTTGTGTGACTAGTGTGGGAAATAAAAAGTTTGTGATTATTATTCTCTTTTGGAAAAATGGAAGTAAAAAGATCTACCCATACCTGACTATGGCTGCAGAAGCTTTATTTTATGTTCTGTTTGTGGGCCACATTTAGATGGCTGATGATTGTTTTAGAACATGAAAGCAAATTAAACCAATGTGATCTTGAGGGAAATCGCATGCCACAGGGCATTTCACGTGTATGTCCACGAATTTAAAGCTCTTTGCTTTTACAGATACTGCAATTTATGAGTTTTGGAAGAGCAGAAAAGGACAAAGTTAAGTTATTTGAGCTCTTTAAAATGTTATTTTTTATTTTTTTTCAGTATTTTTAAATACATTGAAATAACAATACAACTACAAAAAAAGCCATTGAATTTGCATGTCTAATGTAAAATAACATGAAAATATGTAAATGATCATAAAATTACTGCTTATTTAAAGAAAAAACATTTTCACAGATATTTACTGTTTATTTAAATGATTAAACTGTCAAATTCAAGTTTAATACTGTTAAAATATTTCTATGTAAAATTAGTGACAACTAACAGTATTTGTTCCTTTATTTTATATATGTTTGTTGACAGATACATTTTATAATTTTTATGTTATGTTTTAAAAAAAAACTCTGAACAAATGTTTTTTTATCAGTGTATAAGCATAAGTAAACAAAACAAATACAGTTTTTATGAGTTAAAACAGTAATCATTACTGTAATTTCTCAGACTGTGACTTTGATTACAGTTCTTTGACTTGATTATTTGTATTATAGCAGTGTTAGCCTGTATTTATAGGTCATTTAGTTGTTCTGACATGTGTAAATATTTTTAAACATAAAAAAGTCAATTACACAAGATTTAATATGTAAATTTAAAGCTAAAAACTGTATTTTAATTAAAGAAAATTACTGTATTTTTATGATTCAGTTATTTTACTGTTTACTGTTATTTTTTATACTTCAGAACACATCCATATAGAATACATTCTATTCTATCTTATGTGTGTCAGAATGACACAATAGAATGTCTTAGGTATATAGGAACAGAGATATGTTCAGACTTCAGTCAGTCAGATCATCATTGGAGACATTTCAACCCCGTTTGTTGGCTTGTTAACTTGACAACCTTTTCTGAAACCCTTTTATTGACACAGTTATTACCCACTGAATTTCAACACAAAGCATCACTGACATCAGTCTGGTAAGTTGATTGAATTCTCACGTTACCGCAGAGAAAACTCTTCTTGAAGTCAAGTTTTCATGTACATCTGGTTGCAATGTTGATATAAAACTACTTCACAACTGAAGTTGTTGGCATTGGCAGGTTGTTTATAGAAGGCATGATACTGATACGCAGATATATTAGTGATACGACGAACAGATACAACTGACTGAGAGATTAGTTGTATCACTCGACCGAAATATTGGTGTAAAGGTTTTCATCTGTTTTTAACAAATAATATATTAATTATTAGAATTTCATGTCAGAAATTAATAGTTTTTTAACAAAAGCATACATTTATTTATACTAAACATGTATATTTATTTAAGGAGCAGTAGAAATATGCAATATAGGCCGTGAAAGGCAAGACATAACTTTGTGTGTTTAAATTCCTTCTTTTCTACTTCCAGGGCAAGAAAATAATATCAGATTTTATCTGCTTGCACCATGACTGAGAACCAGTATTTCCAGGTGGTCAAAAGAGGCCTGATCTCTTCTGCATCTTCTGACTATGAGGTGCAAGAGCTCCTGGGGAGTGGCACCTTTGGAGAGGTCACTCAGTGCTGGAAGTTAGCCACCAACGAAATCGTGGCTGTAAAAATCATGAAATCCCTGGCGTTCATTCAAGAGGCAAAGGAAGAGGTGCGACACAAATTACGTTTATCGACATTCCCCTTGTGTAATAATTCAAAAACACACTGCATTCACACCAGATCTATTTTTAATATCTCGTACATTCAGGAGGAAATCCTAAAAATGATGAAAGAGCTCAACTCTGAAAAATTCAACATCGTCAGATGGAACGACTCTTTCACCTTCCAAGGACGTTTTTGTCTTGAGTTCGAGAAGCTCGACATCAGTCTCTTTGACTTCCTAAAGAGGAGCCAGTCTCAGTCTCTTCAGCTGGCAGAGATCCGCCCCATAATACAACAGGTATGTTTCTGCAGTACAAAAGTTGTAAGACACAGTACACCCATTGTCTGTTGTTTTAGCTCCGACAATGCAATTATTCTCTTAAATGGATATATAACTGCAAGTATATAAAATGACAAAGAAGAATAGATTTCTGCAGTATGTTAAGCCAAATAATGTCCATAAAGGCTTGAGATTGTGGATACCTTTACCTTCAGTTTTGTCAAATTAAGGTAAAGTGTGTCTTCTATCACTGTGGCTACAAATGTTGGTCCATCTCAAAACCATCTAATGGAAATGGCTGTTCACATGTTCAATTCAAATTCGTTTTGAATGATTGTAATTATTGTTCTCATTCTAGAAGAAACAGAACTGATTTTTACTGTAATTGATGTTTTTTTAGTTGGCTACAGCTCTGAACTTTCTGAAGAGCGCAGGGATTGTCCATGCAGATCTAAAGCCAGATAACATTATGATGGTGGATCACTTACGGCAGCCATTGACTGTGAAAGTCATCGACTTTGGCTTGGCCTGTAACAATCCTGAAGCATGGACAGGTAGCACTCTTCAGACCTTGTGGTACAGGTGAGTAGATATGATGCAGGTGTCTGACAGCACATCTGTATATGTGGGACAGCTGTGGCAGAAAAGATATCCAATGAAAAATTAAGTTTTTAGTCAAGCTTACGTCTGACCAAAACACTGTATATTCATATTTAGGGCTCTAGAGATCCTGCTGGGGCGTCCCTTCAACAACGCCATTGATGTATGGTCTCTAGGCTGCATTGCAGCCGAAATGTTGATGGGCATTGTGCTGTTCCCTGGCTGTGACGAATATGATATGGTATATGTATAACATTTTAACAGTGTCGCACTTAAAACACCAGCCATCAATGTCAACTTGAGCCATAATGTATTCCTTTTATACCCACAAACTCAATAGCTAGAGATAAGCTGTATTCCACTGCATTGTCACTTATGTTTAGCATTTTACTTGTAAAATAACAATGTTTCAATTAATTAAATTCAATGGAATTTAAGATAAAAATGTATTCACAATGGTATCATACCTTTTGAAGAAATTAAATAAAAATGGACTTTGAAGTATAATGCAGAATTGTGTTGTCCCCACAGATGAGACATATCATACTTACTGTTGGTAGACCTCCAGACCACCTGCTGACTGATGCACTGCATAGAGCACAGTTTTTTAGGGCAGAAAATGCTGAATTGGATCCCCCCCAGTGGGGATTTATGGTAACATCATTTGACTGTCATCTAGCTGTGTTTGTATAAAAAAACATTGTTTCTTTGCTTTAGACTGTCTCTGCAATTGGAACAAATGAGCTAACTCAAACATCTTCTCTTTAGTCACCATGCGAAGCAGGGAAATTCTTTTGTCACAAGCGCACGGTCAGCAGCCTGTACGGCATCCTGTACAGGATGCCTCATCAACTGTCAAGAAAAGATGCCAGTGCAGATGGGGCGTGCTTTGTGGACCTGCTGTCTCAAATGCTGAAGATGGATGCCTCTGAAAGAATCACACCAAGCCAGATTCTTCAGCATCCATTCGTGACAATGTGCCACCTTGTTGACAACAGCTCCTAGTAAGTGTGTGCCTACATGCTGTGTGTATTATCTCTGTGCTGATATACTGTAGATGGTTGAAGGTGTTTGACTCAGTGATTTGCTGTCTTCCAGTGCAAAAAAGAGCAAGGAACTGATGAGCAACTGTGAGTCTGGGACCTTTGATGATGGCGAGGACGGGGTTTGCTCAACCTCAAAAACAATTGGGGTGACCTCCATTAGCACTGCCAACCTGGCCCACCACAGAGGTCCAGAAGAGGGTCACCCTGCTGGGCTGAGCGGCAGGGAGCAGCCCTTCCTCCAGAGCTCCATCATCAGAGAGAAGAAGAGAAAAAGGGATGCCATTGACGAGTCAGAATGCGACAACAGGTGTGTTTTTAAAATATCTCCCGGTATTGATGATTTGATATTTTAGATGAATAGTTGGGGAGAAACTGTTATTTGCTTTCTACTTTCGAATATTTTGGTTTGGGGTAAAGTATCAAGTATTTATAAGTCAAAAGGCTCAAGTCCAAGTGAAGCCCAACTCGAGTTGCAAGGCCTTTTTGATTTTGTCAAGTCTAAAGTCATCCAATTTGTGACTGGAGTTTGTGTACAGACTAAACCAAATGAAGAGAGAGCCAGGTTAGTGGTCTCCCTCTTCGACCAGTTTTCATGCTAAGCTAAGCTAATTAACTCGCAGCTCTACAGTAGCTTCACAGTTCTCCAGAGCTGAGCATATAATCTTATCATCCTCTCAGCAAGAAAGAAAAAAAGTCTATTTCTTCAAGATTCAAACCATTTAGTGTTGTTTTTTGACACAGAAGCCCAGACACTATCCTGGCTAAGAAAAGGAAGAGTGAATGCCTGGATGCAGCGAGGACAGAGGCAGGTCTGGAAAAGAGCCCACTAAAGTCTCCGCTGCACAAAAGACAGAGGGATGATGCTGATTGTACAACCTCAGACGGCAGCTCCCCGGCAAAGAAGAGGAGGATGGTAAACCTCAATGAAGAGCTGGCAGACAGCACCAAAAGTAAGTTAATCTATGGCAACACAGACACACACACACACACTCTTGTATGGCGAGATATTGGACCAGTATCAGCTTGGTGAACAATCAAATTTTTATTTATTTTAGAATTGCTCTGCAACACAGAAGCCTGGTCTGGCTTGACCCAGGTCCATCACCTCAGGAAGAGAAATAGGGCCGATGAGGAGGCTTCAGGCTCTAGACAAGAACAAACCTCCCCAGTCAAGAGGAGGAGGGGACGTCTGGACGGAGGAGAGGGGTGAACCTACCCTGTCACTTCAGACAATGCTTACGCACTGAAGAGCTCTCATTCTCATTTCATTTATTATTTTTCAAACATTGTATTGATTTTCAGTCATGTTACTATTTTAACTTGTGTTCATTTCCAATGCGTCTGAAACTGCAGCTTGGTCTGTGGCCCTACGCTTCAAGAAGTGACGCTGTAGGTACCCTTCTAGTGTCGCTTTTGGATGCGCAGGGATGTTTGAATGATATGAGACTGTGGCACTGTCAAGTTAGCAACAACACATTTACCCACGTCCGGGTGGACTGAATTAGGAAAATGAACAAGCAACGTCCGGTTACACTTTCAAGATAAAGCAAATACAAATCATGTTGCAACATTATTAAGACAAAAAAGTATAAAGTTAAGTTAGTTAGTTATGTATAATTGTGCAGCTAACTTAACTAACTAACTTAACTTTATACTTTTTTGTCCTAATAATGTTGCAACATGATTTGTATTTATGAAATAGGAAGAAACCACTAGTGGTAGTATTACGATTGTTCATTCTGGCTTTATTTTGAAAGTGTAACCGGACGTTGCTTATTTATTTTCCTAATTCAGTCCACCCGGACGTGGGTAAATGTGTTATTGCTAACTAAACAGTGCCACAGTCTCATATCATTCAAACATCCCTGAGTGTCCAAAAGTGAAGCTAGAAGGGTACCTACAGCGTCACTTCTTGAAGCATAGGGCCACAGACCAAGCTGCAGTTTTTGATGCAGTGGTAATGAGAAGTGTTGTTCATTTAGTAACACAAAATCCTGAAAACATAATTTTATATAAAGAATTTTCTTCTATTACTTTAAGACTCTGTTACATTACTTGATATTGAATTTAAAAGAAAACTCTAATACAAATAAAATATATTTATAAATCCTAATTAAGTTAAAGCACAATCCACCGGGCCTGAACGAAAACAACCAATCAGAGCCAAGAGAAACAGAAAGAGGCTTTAGGTTGGAGACTTTAAGATAGTTGATTGTTGAGTCTCTTTCCCAGGCCATCAAATACAGACACTGCAAATGAGACTCAACAGTCCACTATCTTTCTTGGCTATGACAAAACATTTTTTTTAATAAAAATTACTTACTGCAGCTTTAAAAAGTCCACACTCAGCTGACTTCTAGATGGACTTGGCAGAGACACACTAGAGGGTCTGAAATACTGTAACCCTGAGCAACAAGAATCCTTGTGTTTGTCTCTGCAGTTTCCAGCAACTGCCCTTTAAATGCAAAAAGGAGGGAACTATTTTACTAGCCTAGTGTGCAAAGCTGTGCTCCCTCTCCCTCTTTATTACCCTGTTGGTGTGATCGATATAGTATAGTATATAGTCTAGTATATAGTATATCAATGTATAAATCAAACTATTATGGTCATAGTTAATAGGTCCAGAAGGATCCATACACTGGTTATTATTTTCTTAGACTTCCACACGTTATTACTGAAGTCAATAAAACACAGTGGTAATTTTGTTTCCCTGCTCCATTATATTATATCTATGTGCTTGTAGCTGTATACAAAACTATGTTTATCTGACTATACAATAAATATTAAACAAATTACAGAATTTTACTTAAATCTGCCTGTAAGAGATGGTCCTCCTGATGTTTGCCCTGTGCGAATGAACTCCTTGGCCTCTTCTTCCTTTTGGGCGTGAGACACATAGAGCATTAGATGTATTAGCATGTAGATGAAAACACCTTATTCTAAGAAAACAACTATTCTTGTTTTGAAGTGATTATACACTGATGAAAACATGTATGAATATTATTTTCCATTTCTGACAATAGATCTTCTTAAATGTTATACAGTAGACCTTTAAGAATAATTTGATAAGAATTGCATGACAGGAATAGATTACATGTTGAAAGTTACAATGCCACTAAGTTTTGTGGGAGTGATATTTGATTCATCATCTAAAAACACTTTATCCGGAATGAGGAAATACATGGATACATGTATCCAGCATAACGCACCAGTCCGTCTGTGGCAAAACTGCTAACAGAATATTGTTTTCTTCTCAGGTCAGTCTTTGCTTATGGAATCACTGTCAGTATGTAAGTCACTCAGATAAACTGTAGGCCAGAGTTACCAGTGTAACTCTGTCAGTGGCTGCATTACTTGACCTTGCTCACTAGGTGACACCATAGCACCATAATATAGAATTTGCAGAAACATTAAGGGGTAAAAATGGGATTCAGATCAAGAATCAAATCCTGTACATAATACAGTGAGATTTAAATTATCAATGCAATATTTGTGTTTGCTTTTAAGGCCACCAGTGCAATGATTCCTGTGGTGTTACGTTTAATGTACAGCAGAGTCCATTTCATATGTGCACCTATGTCTATAGATTTTAATTGTATGTAGGTGTAATGTTTAAAAATTACTTACTGAGGTGTTTCTTTTCCATTAAACACATTCTATTAGTTCTGCAAAGTCAAATATTTATATAACTCTTTCACCACAGCTCAAACTTCATATACTTCAGAATATTATTAAACATTTTTAATAACTAGTTTAAAGTGCCTACCCCTATAATAAACATATAACTACTGTAAATCAGACTAATTCAGATTAGCGACTGTATAAAAATTATTAGGGGTGGATGGTTATGTAATATTTACTTTTGCTGAAGGGAGGGTAATCAAATTTCTTTTGGTGAATGGGGGAGGATCATATTTTTTTTCACCCTGTATATTTTATTTGTCTTTCTTTGTAAGATTAATGGTAAAGGGATAAATAAATAAATAAATAAATAGTGACACTGAAAAGGGATATTGTTATCCTTATAGTTATGTCCATTACAATCAATTAGTAGTGGTGGAAGAAGTATTCAGATCCTTTAACTTAAGTAGAAGTACCACACTAAATACAACAAGGGCATGTGTTTGATTAACAACTGGAATCATATTATTTTTAAACAAATCTATTGTTTTTATGTTCCCTTAATGATTGGTTCATGTTTGCTGGCCATAACTCAAAGGAAATTTAGGTGAATTAAGTCGACACATGTTGGTCCAACAAGAACAAATCATTTCAAAACATATGATTGTGACTCTTCTTTTTTCAAGATTAAGCAATTCTGTTGGGCCAACTTAAATAACTTGGGATGGATCAACTTCAGTGTAATTTTAAAACTGCAAAATGAACTACATCAAACCTAATAAATTGAGGTGGACCAACAGAGTTGCTAAATGCTGAAAGAAAGCCATGTAATCTCTATGTAAAATTCTGTCCATGATTTAATTAAATGCGTTCAAAGAGTTGTGTTTTTTTGTATAATACCACACTATGAAAATACTCGACCTGCATTCAAAACCTTACTTAAACAAAAGTATGTATAATTAATAACATGCAGTACTGCTGCATTAATGTGTATGTTGTATGTGTATGCATTTTACTGCTGTAGATGTTTAAGGTTGAGCTCATTTGAACTACTTTATATACTGTTGGGTAGTTTGATCAATAACAGTGCATCATATTCTATAAGATCATCATATGTTTGTAGTGTGGCTGTAATGTGAGAACCATGTATCTCTAAAAAGTCAGAAGTTTTCTGCTTTGTGATGCTGCATTTTCCAACTGATCCAAGAGGGGTTTTAAAGAAGAAGAAATAGGAGAAGTTTCTCAGCCCATAAAGGAACATTTAATCGTTTAATTTATTACAAACCTGCACATTCAAAATCACCACATTTAGGGATACATGATTTGCACTGGACAGGATGAAACCTAAAACTGTAAGACAAATGTAGTGCAGTAAAACGCACATTTGCCTCGGAGTTGTAGTGAAGTAGAAATATTTATATTAGATATATCAGAACTTTTCCCAGGTTTCTGGAGGGTTTACACTGTCGTTGCGCTGAAGGGTCTGTATGGTCTGGGGGTCCTCCCCCAAGAAAATTGTATGTTATTTTGCAAAAACACTGCATTTTCACATAATTTCTGCCTATTATGACTACAATAGTTATTTAAAAAACTTACACAGGTTGTAGTTTTCACATTACAGTTCTATTTCATATGTTTCATATTAAAAAAAAAAGAATAATTTCAGAACAGGATTGATTAAAAAAATCACTACAACATTTTTTTCTTGTCATTAATTAATTTAAAAAAGAACAACTCATTATCCATGGTGCCCATATATCAATACACCTATCCATTTTTAGCTGTATTTTTGCTGTGACCTTTTCCATAATAAACATCTCATTCACCTTTGTTTTATGGGGTATTTGGGGCTTGTGGCTACAACCATAGGGTGGTAATAGCTATTTTGCTTTTTGCTATTTGTTTTCATAAGGGGATGCCTGAGATAAATAACTCTGAGTTGAAGATTCATTTTGTATCAAAGATGAATTCTATTTCCTTTTTTAAGATCCTCCCAGTATCCCAGCAAGTTTAAACAGCCCCATTGTATATGTGCGAGGTTTCACTGGGCACCACATCCCCTCCAACATAATCCAGATGATTTTCCATATTTAGCCATTATGACTGGGGTTTTGATTACTATTTAAAAAAAAGAAATAGTGTTTCTAGAACAGTAAGATTTCCAACAACAAACTCACTATATAAACTCAATAATATCTGTCAGTAAAACATATTGCCTTAATTACCTGACATCAAAATACTGACTGATGTTTCATCAGTCAGTATCAGTCCTTTCTCCTGTCCTCTGTCCTCCTATGATGTGTTTCACTGTTGGTAGAGAGAGGAGGAGACAAAGCAGGTGGGAATATTGATTATCTTCTTTTTTTAAGAAGAAGAAGAAGAAGAAGATATACTTTTTTGATCCCCTAGGGGTTAATAGTTTTTTCCACTCTTTTTTTTTATACACACAC